CCCCAAAACCCCAAAACCCCAAAACCCCAAAACCCCAAAACCCCGGTTGCCTTTTCACCAGTTGAAGTTCCAATTTTCCAGTCAAATAAACCAAAATACAAATTTTTTCGCCAAAAGTCAAGTTACTTCTCATTTTGAGGGAGGCATTTTGGACTAAAACTAGCAGGTTTTGGAAGAGCTTAATAAAGGGTCTTTACGATGGAGACTGGAAAGAAAGGGTAAAGTGACTATAATGTAGGACCGAATTTGACAACATTTAGTAAGGAACATAGTATTTAGATCTTATCAATAGTGTCCATGCCTAAGAGATTGAAGAGAGTCTTCATCACCTTTCTTGTGAGCTCGATCAGAAGGATTCTAGGTAACTCCTTCTCGTCACCCAGCACCTTGTTGTTCGCATAGAAGGAACCGATCTGGGTACTAATGTCATAAAGCATGTTACAAATCTTGTTTATCTGAAGGTCATTGAAAACTCCGTCAATATACTCAGGAAGTCTGAGAAGCAATAATCCCAAATTGATTTCTTCAGGAGTCTCAAGATTTAACTCAGCTTCCTTTGCAACTTCCGCAAGTCTCTCTTCATCATATCCTCCCTTTCTCAAGATTGAGCAAAGTCTGACATACATGTAGAGGAGGTAGACTCCAGTATCCCCTTTAGGGTCGAGAATCTTATCATAAGAGAAACCATATGAGGAAGTTCTATTTTGCTTAAGATCGTAGTACTTCACAGAGGTCATACCAATGATTTCTCCTCTCTCCAGATACTCCTCCTCAGTTAGTTTTTCTTCTTCCTTAGAGTTCTCATGCTTTTGCTTACATACTTCGGCTGCTCTATCTCTGGCCTCATCAAGGAGACTCATTAACTGGATTGATTCTCCTGATCTAGACTTGATCTTTTCACCATTTGCATCAAGTACAAGTCCAAATCCCATATGGTCAAATCTATGCTTCTTTGGGTCAAGAATGCCTGCGAGCTTGGAAGCGCCTTCTAATTGTTTAAAATGGAAGCTCTGTCCCATATCAGTGAGGACAATAATCCTATCAGCCTTTTCAACATTAACCCTGTACTCCATTGCTGCGAGATCAGTCGAGTCATAATTATAGCCTCCATCAGATTTGACGACTATAAGAGGAACTTTGATTTTAGGTACAAAGATACACTTGCAGCCATCATCTTCAACAATGACACCATCCTTCTCAAGTCTTTCCACAAGAGGAGGAATCATATCGTTGTAGAAAGACTCTCCATACTCATTGTTGACGATTTTAAGTCTATCGTAGATTTGGACAAATTGGGATCTAGAGACATCACAGATCATCCTCCATGCTTTGAGGATGGATTCATCTCCACCCTGTAGCTTGACAACGGTCTCTCTAGACCTGGTCTTGAAGTCTTCTTCATTATCAAACCTATTCTTAGCTTCTTTATAAAATCCATCAAGATCGGAAATGTTTGGCTGTTTCTCAAGGAAATCAGGATATGTGTCCTCCATATGGGAAATTAACATTCCAAATTGGGTTCCCCAGTCACCAATGTGGTTAACTCTTTTAACATCGTGGCCCATATACTCAAGGATTCTGCACATAGAGTCTCCAATGATGGTAGATCTGAGGTGTCCAACATGCATGTTCTTGGCAATGTTGGGTGACGAGAAGTCAACAACTACCTTGACCTTCTTTTCTGCTTCATAAGTGATATCATTGTACACAAACTCCTTAAGTCTTTCTGCAAGAGCTGCCTTCTGGAGGAAAATATTGATGAAGAAGCCTGATTTGTCATCAGGTCCCTTTCCTGCTTTAAGAGTAGACACTCTTTCAATAATGCCTGTGGTAGGAATGATCTCAGCAATTTTTTCAGCGAGTTCCTTACAATTGGCGAATCCAAGTCCTCCTTTCTTCTTATTCATGTTCCAAATCTTGATGGCTGTGGGGGTAGCATACTGCCATTCCTTATCTTTATCAGAATTTATAATAAACTTTTCTTTAATCTCTGGGATCTCAGCCTGGACGGCCTCAGTGATGATCTCAGACAGATAGTGAGCTAGATTAATCATTTTTAATAATATAATTTTACTGTGGAATTAGAAATATATGGGGTTTTGGGGTTTTGGGGTTTTGGGGTTTTGGGGTTTTGGGG